CACACACACACACACACACACACACACACACACACACACACACACACACACACTGTTCCTGGGTCCTGAATACTCTTTAGTTGCTCTTCTCAGGACATCAGCGCTCAGCGACTGTCATGCTTGCAGTCTGTAGTTAATTTGAATGCACACACACTTTTAACTTAACACACCGTGCATATGTGCGTGTGTGCTGTGTGTATGATAGAGATGTGCCATACTCAGGTAACGTGACTCTGTCTTATGTTTTGGACTCAACATACTCTTGATCTCTGATGTGAGTGTGATCTGGTGTCAGGTGTACATCAGCAGGTTTCCAGAAATGAGAGCTGTCGAGACACCGGGAAACACTAGAAGAGACAGAACAGACAGAAAGTGAAGAAAGGAGGGAAGGAAGAATGGATAGAAGGAAGGAAGGGATGAAAAAAGGAAGGAAGGAAGTATAGTTGTAGCGCTCCCTTAAGACTTAAGACTGTCTAAAATAGAGGCCAGTGCAGAAGTCTATTAAGCCTGCCTCATTTCTAATGGCCAGCAGAGGGAGACTGCTTTGGTTCCAAAATGAAGTCAACAGCATTGTAAGTTTAGACGATAAAACCTGCAGCTCGCTTGGTCTGTGACCTCAGTGAAAACTTTCTGATGAGTTTATCATCTCACTTGGAAAGTTCAAGTGCATGATGTTTCTTATTAGAGCCAAAACATCAATCTCAATAAAGCGGTGTGTGCTCGTTGTCACAGAATGCCGTGTCCCTTCGTTTGTGATTCACCCTTCCCATGTGGCGGCTAGCTTTAAAAAAAAAGCTGACAGGATGATAATGATGAAGTCAAAGTTTCAAAAATGTGACTTCACTAACTATTACTATGGTGTAACCATCTTTTATATACAATTCATGCTTCAGACGCATTCATAGTGCAGGAAATGTTTGGTTTAAAGTGAGGATGCTGCACCGTGTGCACATGGTGCCCACTCGCTCACATGAAATCATTGGACTGTCACCTGCTTTGTTCTCACATGGGCTGGATTACATCACATGAACTTCATACTAGAACGCCGGCAGGTTAAACGTCAGTTAACGTTCAATTTGTGCTGCGCTGCATGCAGAGCAACTTTCTGCAACCATTTGCATATTTTAGGCATGCTTTTATAAGCAGATGCTTTCATGTATTGTTATCAAATTCATGTTGAACATATCGTCTTGTTGATGGATAGTTGTTATTCGGATAGTGAGGGGGAAATTATTCTTACTTGGGGTTTGTTCACATAATTCATTTAGAAATTCAGTTTCTGACCAAGATCACATTCATGTGACCAAGGGCCCGATGGTGCACTCACTCACAGCTCTTAAAGTTGCTCCTTCAACACTGGTGTTAAAATTTCAGGTTATTTTATGTAAGCAAGTGTGATCTGAGGCTATATTACATATTGTTGCACTTGAGTACTCAAGCTTCTCTTCTCTCCGACTTTGCTGGCTGCTTTCTCCCACTCACTTGCTGCTCTCTCTTAATTTGGATCACTTGCATCACCACTGACATCACATTTTTTTTTATTTTTACATTGCTTTCCTGTTTCTAACCTCAGCCCCACTCATCGTCACCCTCCTCAGAGTTTGCTGACGCGATCAGGTGGACATGACTCTTTCTACATGTCAAGAAAAAAAGAAAATACTGACTGACTCACAAGCCATGCTTGAAATCAGCAGCAGGAAGCGGGTAGGGATTTAACTTCGGTGTAATCCCTTCTGATTTTATTTTCACACACAAACCGCTGTCTCACACCGCGAGCCCACGCGTCTGGCCCTCGGGTTACAGCGCTGTAATGGTGTGGCCTACCGTGCCGTGTCATGTGTCACCTCTTAGCATGTGATTGATGGGATGTGATGCGATATGGAGCTGATAGAATGGCTGCAGCGATAGGGTGTCCATCAGATCTCTGGCTGACTTTACTGGTATCTATTACGGATTACACTTTGGTAATGTTTCCCAAAGTACAGCTTAAATCCTCTCAAACTCACGCTATCATCCTTCTACTCATTGCGCTTTGCAGCTCTGGCTTTTTCCACGAGGGTTAAACTACAAGGCAAAATGGTTAATGTTCACCTTGCCGTTGTGAATTCAGCTTTGTGTCTTTCTGAACTGCCAGATCAAAGAGAGCAGGGCTGCGAGAGAGACCGCTACTTTACAAAAGCT